TTTCTCCATCATGACTTCTCAGAAGCTGGAAGCCATGGAAAGAGTGACAAATGGGCATGACAGTGGGAAGCTGCTGGGGTCACAGTGTGGTAGAAGCGGCCATCTGCTAAGTGGGGACATGGCGAGCCCCAAGCATACCTGGGCAGTGGCATTTTGAAGTAGCAGCCTGCTTTTATCTCAGCATGGGGGTGCATGGGTGCATCTGTCAGTCTTGCATGCAGGATTATGGTCTTTCCCTCTGCTCGCTCTGACATCCCGCTTGCTTTATGCCTGCCATGGGATTTCAGTTCACTTGGTATTAGCATACCCATTATCGCTCAGTCCCTTCAACAACAGCGAGAAGTAGGTGGGCATGCCTTTCTGTCTCCAAATGAACAATGACAAATTGAGACAGAGAAAAGTTAAAAGCCCCAGGAAAGAAGGTTGGGAAAGGACAGTGAAGCTTAGGGGTCAACCCCTGCTCTGCCTGACCCCTGCCTGCCAGTAAGATATTAACAGAAGACATGAAATTACATGTGACGGCTCTCACACTCACATACCGCCTGGACTGTTTGCTCCTAGGCCTCAGGCGCTCTGTTGAGTTTAATTTTTACACACTGAAATGCAGTAGACTGAGGTTTTCCTGCTTGATGGATTGACAGGCGTCTCCCCCAGTGGACCCCTCATCCACATTCCAGGTCAGCAGCCCTGAATTCCGAGCCCGTGTGCTCCGGTCCCACCATGCGACACCTGCATGTGAGTGCCTGCCGTGGGCCATCCCTTTGGCCTGTTCTTTAGCTTCTTCTATATGGTGTCACAGAGTCGCTGAAACAGGTATCCCGGGGGAAGAAAGCCTTGGTTCCTAACTACTTAAGAAAGAATGTTGGTACAAAGTGGGAAACTGAGGCTGTGGCCTCACAGATTACGCGGACTGAAGCCATGGATCCTGGGCCAGTCAGGTTCCCGTATTCCATCCGCCTGTGCCCTCCTGGCTTCCAGCAGGGTGGCTTTCTCTCTGGGTTCCCAGGTCTCATAAACCTGGGCAGGCAGTGCCCCCTGCTGCCTGAGTGCCTGACCCTAGATTCACAGAGTAGCAAGATCACAAGTCTCGAGTCCGGTGCAGTGACTGGCACAGGACAGAAGCTTGTGAAACGGAAGTCATCTGCCATTTTATTTCCCCCTGGAAAGAGTTTTTCCTAGGCTGTGGGGATTTTCCTTATCAAGAAAAACAAAACAAAACTAAACAAACAAACAAACAAAACAAACAAACAAAACAAAACAAAACCAAAAAAAAAAAAAAAAAAAAAACAAAACAAAACAAAAACCAAACCAACCAAGGGAGAAGCAGCCTTTTGGGTGGAGTACTGCTGCCCCCGTGTGGGCATCTTGGGACACTACAATAGAGTGAGACACCAAGACTGGATTGTTTTCAGGTCTCAGGCTCTGTAACTTCCATGGACCTGAAAGCACATGTTCCCCAGGGCTATTACTCGACCTTTAAGTCTTATCCTGGAGGGGGAACTAGAGAGTACAGGGCATATAGCGGAAGGTATCCTTTGGGGGAACTAGCCTTAGCTGTGTGTGGGGACAGATGTAGCCTTCGCATCCTGTCCCACGCAAGGTGGGCTGGACATAGGCTTTCTCCCTTGAACTACGCATATACCATGGTCTGATTTGAGGTCAATAGAAGTCAGGGGAGGAGGATTTCTAGAGTGGAGGAGCAATGCCTCCCCAGCCGGTTGTTGAGTACGGGTGTTAGCACCAGGGCCTGCAAGCCCCTCCCAGTGTGCCTCGTGGCCTTCTTTTTTGCACCTGTGGTCGGGCTGTGGTGTAACGGCCCAGCCTACCTCTTCTGGGCACGTGGCCTGGAGAGATGCTATCTCTAACTCTGTATTTTTAACTCTTCTTTCCATAGGATGTGGCTTCTGTGGGAGAGCTTCAAAGGGTGCCCTGTATGCCCCTGTCAGCAACCATGACGTCACGGAAATGGGAGGAGGCAATTCAGCCCCAAACACCTGGAGGGAAGTGGGAAACTTTTCCATTTCCTGTTCTACTTTTGGCGATTGAGTCAGTATCTGACTAGCTTACCATTTCAGGGTGCAGCCGTCTGGTTCTTGGAGAGGATCCCATGCCTTACGTGTGTGAAAAGAGGCCCCGAGCTGTCTGTGTCTCTGCCCATGTGGCCTTTACACAAGGCAGGGGCTGGTGGTCCTTCAAACTACCCTAGTGTATGCATCAGCAAGAGTCGTGGTGTTAGACAGGTCTCTCACACTCATTCTGGAAGTGTCCCTTGGGGAACAGCCTTGGCTGTGTGTGGGCAGAGATAGCCTTTACTTCCTGTCTGGGGCAGGGTGGTCTGGACATAGCTTTAACCCCCTTGTACGAAGTAAGCCCCAAGCCCTTCTTCCCACGTGTTGCTTGGGGGACGAAGGTTTGAGGGGATTTGTGTGGGTCACAGGAAAAAGCGAAGTGAGTATCAAGTGACCTTTGACCCTGAATGTCACTGGTCATGTATAGCCAGAGCTGAGACTTTTAGAAACCTGTATTTCCTAGTAACTCTCCTCCAGTATTCAGTGGGCCTAGAGTGCTTGCATAGGGTGCCCTCGTCAAGGAGCCACCGCTCACGTTTTCATTATTCTGATAGTTTTTGCCAGCTTACTCTATTTCTTCCAAACTGAAGCAGGGGCTGACCTGGCCACTTCCTCTATTAACTTCACCTTTCTTCGAGCTCAGTGACTAATTGTGTGGACGGACCCTCATTGGTTCATTTGTTGGTGTCTGTAGGGTGCCAGGCCCTGCCCTACAGGGACAGACTGATGAGCAGGCTGCCCCTACCACCCCGGGAACAGATATGGTCCAGCACACTTCCCCGGTGAGAAGTCACCTGAGAAGAAAGAGGTCAGGGTTTCACATGAGGTTTGGGAGCTGAACTCTATGGTGTATCCCAAACCTACAAGACAAAGCAAACCTTTAAGTGTCAGGTGGCTGCCTGAGTGGTCAGAGCTGAAGCTCCGTAACCCAGGTCCGTCCAGCCTCGTTCCTGCCTGTCTGAACTGTGACTCCAGCTGCTGGGGGAGGGGAAGGTGGGGCAAATCTCTGGGGACAGTTTCAAAACACTGTCCACAGTTCTAGTCTTGGGACACGAGGGGTCTGTTTTTCTGCCACCAGAGCTGGTCTGTGTAAAGTCCCCGAGGGAGCTAGATTCTAGAGGCATCCATTTTCCAGCTGGCCTTGGCAAGACGTTGGCTGGGGACGAGTGCCTTCCCTCTGTGAGTTGGTTCAGGCTGGTCAAGATGCAGCGGCAGCTTTGAGACCATTGTATCTTTGTCATGTCTTCAGGGTTCCTCAGTAGCTCCTTCCTTCTAGACTAAGCAGCGGTCGGTCTTCTAGACTAAGCAGTGGTCAGCCTAGAACCTGCCATGAAGGAGACTCTGCCTGTTCACAACACGTGTTCTGCCCTTGTGGAGACAGCCCCAGCTGTGAGGGATGGTCTTGTTCAGATTGGATGGACATTTCTCTGGGGGTGAAGTCGAACGTGGTCCCCTGATGGCTTCCTGCCTGCCTGGGCCTTGTCATCACCTAGCTTGGGTTGGGCCTGGAAGGAGGAAGCCTCACTCCCAGGGTTGTGGGTGGGTCTTCAGACCCCTGACACATGCCCTCACTATGGTCCTCAGGTAACCTTAGGGTTCTAGTGACCTCAGGATGTTGCTGTCTGGCGGCACTGGGCTAGAATGGTCCAACAGAGGCCTGGGTCTCTTTCAAGTCTAGCGGAGGGGTCTGTCTTTGCTCCTATATTGCTTTCCCCTTCAGCTTCTGCATAACTGTAGCCAATTTTCAGGAGCACACCTACTTCCCCAACCACCCACACTTTCTTTGCCTGGATCTTTCTTTCTTTCTTTTTATTTTTTTTGTGGAGCAAAGTGAATTAGCAGTTTAGGGGGGGGGGCAAACTAATTTGCCCTAAGTTTTTTATGGTTGATAAAGGCTTGCTCTCCTAACCTTCCCAGGGGCATTTTCATTTAATACAGGGAAGAGAATGGTTTAATTAAAAGAAATTCCCAGTGGTAATTCTCTGGCATGGTGTCAGGCAGACGGGGAGGGGCTTGGGGAAGAGGCCTCGGAGCCCTCCTCCCATGTGTGAGGTGGGCCCTCTCATGGTGTCCCCTGAGCCCTTTCACTTTAGTAATCTTAAAGGCTTCCATGTAGGCCAGAGATGGGCAGTTTAGAAATAATGAGCGTTTGTGTTTGCTCTGGGTCATGGCTTTCTGCTGTAGGTGTCCTCCAGTCCCACCTGAAGCTCACAGCGAGCGGGGAGGGGCATGCCCTAGACCACCCGTTCAAGCTGGTAGACCCATCTCTATGAGAAGAAGCAGCCCCGCCTGACTTCCGGCTGGGAGGATTTGCCTACTTCCGGCTAGCATGGAAGAGTTGGGTAGTGGTGGAGGGCATCCTGGGAATTTGTGAGTATTCCTTTTTGGCCTTGAACAGGCAGAGTGAATTCCTATCAGAATTCCTGACCTTGGAGAAGACTGGCAGCAGAGGGTTGGCAGAGAGCCGCGCCCCAGGGGCTTTCACTCATGCTGGGGGTAAGAGTTTAGGACATTAATTCTCCTTGGCCAAGCCCCAGCCATAGATCTGTAGGGTAAAACACAGTTTCAGTGATAAGCCAATCTGAGCATGACAGGAAAAAGAAAAAAGTGTCCCTGGAGGGCAGGAGCTAGCTAGAGGGTGGCAATGTTGGGGACACTTGGCATTCTTGTCTGGTAAATTTCAGTTACGAGTCAGGACACCTCCATGCTGTGAGCCTGTTACGAGTGGCTCTGAGGCATGGTATGAGCTGGGATGCACACTTGTAAAAGGACCTTCCTGGCCCTTGGCACAGCTTGCTTAGTGGGATTTTAAGAGTTCATTCCTAGAAGAAGTTGGGCATCATGATAGGCACAGACTGTGTTTCTGTCTGCTGAGCTGATGATCAGCAGTGTGAAAATGACCCCACCAAACCCAGTCATACAGGATCACAGTTTCTGCTTTTCTGAGTCATCTTTAATGAAGCCATGGACAGCAGAACCATATATACAATAGGGCTCAGATTCACACAGTAGCAGGGAGGGGCTGGACAATGAGACAATCTTTTCTACATCTTGAGGAAAGAGTAATGTGTGATGCTTTAAAAAACAAAACAAAAACAAAAACATGGTCTTTACAATATTCTCCAGGAGCTGCGGTCCAAGAGATTCTGCTGGGGATCTGCCACAGGGAATGGGTGTGGGTTGGGAGGTGGTGGTGAGGTCAGGGTTGGGGGGGTCTTCATATCCAGGAGAAGTAGCAGCCCCTCCTTCCTGTGAATGGCCAGCAGCAGTAAGGGAGTGGATTGGGTGCAGTAGCACTTAGCAGCTCTTCAGCAATCTCCATCACAAATTCAGGAGATCCAGTTGGCAGGCTTGTGACTGAGAGCCTTCTTTATGAGATGGGAGGGCTCCTTTTTGCTTGAAGAGAGAGGGGAGGGGTGATGAAGAGGAAGGAGCTCGGAGTTCAGCCTCTTTCAGTCTTGACCTGTAGTGAGGAAGGACAGAGGTCAGGCTTGGTAGTGAGGACTAGCACTCAGGGATGCCTTTGGGGATGGCTTTGTTTGGGGCTGTGCAAGGTGGCTGGGGGCTTTGACAGGGTGGAAGTATGATGACTCTAGCCAGGCTTAGGGTTAACAAATACAGTGTCTTCAAGCATCAAGCTGAGACAGCTTGCTCGGAGAAAAAACACTGACCGGCAGGGGCAGAGCACTCGGTACACATGCATCCGAGTTGGAATTTTTCTTGTCCTTTACCCATTGCCTGTGTGCCCTTGATGTGATCTGGCCTCACTTTCTTTGTTTCTAAGTAAGGATAATCAGAGCTGTTCCTCATGTATCTTAGGAGGGGTATGGCTCAACTGAGGGTGCTGAAGTGAGTGTGTCCTGTGGAACACACTTCAGGACGCCGGTGTCACAGCAGCTTGTAACAGGAAGAGACAGAAAAGTCCCAAGGGTCCAGTCGTAGGATTTAAAGGCAAATTCCCATGGAGGATTTGCTCTCAGGGCTGGGTCTTATCCTGAACACCCCCCCTCCAAGCTTTGATGCCTCCTCACCTTAGCTGGACCACAGCCGCAGCGTCATGAGCAGGTTAAATCCCGCCACTTTCAGGAGGAGGATTCGGAGTCCCATCACTGATAGGTTTTGAAAGTTTAGGTTCATATCTGTAAAACCAAGAGGTCATAGCCGTTAAGGGTTAAGCACACGAGAGGTCTGTACTGCAAGGCACTATGGACTTTCCCAGGAGCTGGTTAGGCTGGATGTGGGTAACTTCAACTTCTGCACACATCCCAGGGCAAAGGTATTTGTGTATGCCTCCAGGGCAAGAACATTGTCTTTTAAGACAAAAACCACCAAGAGGACTTAGGCCATATAACACACTGAGGGCCTGTAGGCTTTAGCATAGGGTTGGGGTGGGTGCTCAGAACATGTCTCACAACCCTGTGGGCCTGGGCCCCTCAGTGAAACCAGACGGGCGATGACTCAGTAATGAGGTGGCACTGAGACATGACAAGCCTGAGGCTTTGTGAGTCTATTGCCTTTCTAGAAAGGTTCTTTCCAAGACATAGAGGGACAGTGTCCTCAGAGTGACATGGTTAGTTCAGGGCTGCTCTGAAGGGACTCACAGACTTCACAGTTGGACAGTGAGCAGCTTTCTTTGGCTATCCTTACAGAGGAACTAATAAGAGACACAGAGGCCTGGGAGTGGTTCCTCTGGCCTAGTAAAACAGAAGACACACCTTACTAAGTACTTAGAATGGAAAATGTAGTCAACCGTGCTGGACTCTGGGCAGCTGGGAGCAGGTTTGCAAGTGCTGTCCCCATCTCCAGACTCACCCCTTCCCCTCCCCATGCAATGAAGGTTATTATGGGCTCATTGCTTCCCCCAGCATCATTCAAAATGGGACAGTTCCGTCCCTTACCTGTTTCAAAGCTTTTCTCTATCAACTTGGCATTGCAGGGAACATCTAAAAGGAAAAAGAAAGAAATCGTCTTAGTCTAAATTGCACGGACTCTTCTGGATTCTTTGGGAGAGAACTGGGGGGCATATTGCCCAGGAGCAATATCGTGCCTAGTGGCACGATACCCCGACTTCTGGGCACCCTTCCATTCTTTCAACAAATACTGGCTATGCAAAAGGGTTTGCTGCACGCCATGACTGCAAAGTCAAGATAGTCAGTCCCTGGACTTGGGCAGGGTTCAGTCCAGAGGCCAATAGAGGCCCAAAGACAATTCACAGTGATTAGGGCTATATATTTTCACATATTGCGGAAAGTTCTGATGCCCAAATTTTCCCCTTTGTGTCTCTTACTTAGTCTCTAATCCCACTGACTCAGAGGCTGCCACCATCCTTGATGCCACATTGCCTTTTCATCTCTTATGGTTCTGTCCTTGATGCCCAAGTAGCTTTGGTCACTGGAGTCCCTACTCCTACCTGGTAGAGCTCTCATCATCTCTCCTGCAAGCTCTTTCTTCTGCTGGACCTACAATCTACCCTTCACACAGCAACCAGCCTTATATTTCATTTTATTTAGCTGTTTATGGAGACAGGGTCCCAGATAGTCCAGGATGGCCTTGAACTTGCTATGTAGGTGAGAATGACTTTGAACTTCTGACCTTCTTGCCTCCACCTGTGATCTGGCCCTTATTTCAACTCATCTCCTGCAGCTTTTCCTTGTTCTCAGCATTCTCCTTTCTTGGGCTTTGGTAGGGTCTTTTCTGTCCTAAGCATGGATGGTCCCTCCTTATCTAGTTGAGGTGAGATAGCATTACCTCAGAGCCCTTCTCTGAGGTAGTTCTTCCCTCAACTCCAAGTTAATGTGTATATTAGTTATAGTCCAACCTAATTAACATGTCCCTCTGCTGAGAGATGGTCTTCCTTGTTTAGAATGGTGTTCCCTAGGGACAACCCCTCATCTGACTTCTCATGTCACTCCAGCATCTGAGACTGTGTACCCACACGATCTTGGCAGACATAGAAACTAGGGAAGGCAGCTGGGGGGCAGGAAACTGTGCCTTGGAGAACAGAAAGGACAAGTGGCTCCAACAAAGACAGGAAGGTGCATGAACTCCCAATGGTGAGGCCACTGTGGGCCAATGCCCTGTGTCATGTTCTCTTGCCTGCTTTAGGGCCAGGGCGCTTGTGGCCTGCTAGGACAGGATACTAGTCAAACAGGATGCAGATTCTGCTGATGAGTACATGATCTAAAGCAGCTTTTACATAGCACAGACTTGAGCTGGGCCTCTCCTGAAGCGACACTCACCTGAGCTGGGGTAGGAGGCCTTCTCTTTGAGGGTGTCTTTACAGTTGAAATTAGTTTGGTTGCTCCAGGCAATGACTGCATTGCTCTTGGAATCCATAGATCTCATGTCCAGCACAGTTTTGTCAGAGACAAACACACCAGGTGGCACATCCTTTGACACATTGATTTGAGAACCGAAGTCGGTGAACAGGCAGATGCTACTGTTCTTGGACTGATGGTCTCTCAGCTGGTACACAGCTGGCTTTGGGTCCTGGATGTCTGTGGGCCAAGAGGACTGAGGTTAGAAGATGTTCTTTTTTTTTACTTTTTGTGTCCTAACCTAGGGCAGAACTTAGATGTCGGAAGCGAGATCTTAGAAACCAGCTGCTCATGGTGGTCTGGGGTTAGGGACAGGCACAAGTCATGAGTCCTGGCCAAGATCTCATACTCTTGGTAGTTGCTCTCCATAGGGTCTGGAAGACCATAAACATGGGGTCACTAAACCATCTTGTCATTCTTTGACTTAATGGCATCTCCAAAACCCCAGTAAGTCTAGTCAATGATTTTGCTCTGGCAGGATGAAAACAAGCTTAGAAAAAGGGGCCCAGAGGACCAAGCTCTCCCTCTAGAGTGCTCCCCTGCAAACAGGCTGGTCACTGTGGGAAATGCAGGCCCGTGATATTTAGACATTAACTTGGAAAATCTATCATAACTCCAGGCGATTTCTCTCTTTGGTAAATGTTTTGAGTAACAAACGAAAACACCCACATCCAAGCCTTGACGGCCTTGATTAGATCAACAGCAGCTGGAGTCTCAGAACCTTTACCTATAAAATGGACATGTTGCTTCACCCACCCACCTTTCCAACCAGGCTCTGCTGAGAAATGACTGTTTCTCAGAATCAAATGAACCTAACCAAGCACACAGCACTGAACAAATGTGCCAGGGTTTCACCATAAAAACACACTGCTGAGCAGACAATCACACTGTCCATTCCAGGAATGGGGTATGGGACTGTGGGGCCACCGGAGGCCCTTCCTTCCTCGGTGCTGAGACAGGACTCTATTTTTTCTGAGGCTTTTTATGTTTAATGTGACTCTCACTGACTCCACCTTCAGAGGAGGAAGCAGATGCAGGCCAGGAGGACAGACCACCTAGGGAGTTTCCAGCAGGGCTGGGGTGGGAACTTCCTGTCCTGTGTCTCACTCCCACGTCTCTTCAGTATGCTAGGAAGTTTAGACCTGGGTGATGCTCTCTGCTCACTGAGACAACCAGGGTGGCCTTGGCAATGCAGGTTTCCAACTGGATCCTGAACCAAAGAAACCAGGGCCTGGCATAGCTCTAGGATGCTGAGTCAAGACAGCACGGCTAGGTGGGCTCCTTGGTCAGACATGGAGCGTTAGCCCCTTTCAGGCAGGCCAGTAAGGTGACCGCACAGGAACTTCCTAGTTTTTAGCCCCTTTCATTTCCAGCCCCAGAGATATCTGCTGCCACCTTACCTGTCCCCCTGAAAATCAGAAACAAATCACCTTTAATTGGAGGTCTTTGGGGTTCTGCCTCTCGGAGCCCTGTGGTGAGAGACATCCTATTCCTACCTCATAAGAAAAACACGTTTTACCACTGAATGGCATCAGAGGTCACTTTAGCAGGACTGGATCAATTTTTCAACTACAAGTTCAGCTGTTGTAGCTCCTAACCTGTCATCACAATTCAGAAGGAACACAGAAGGCCATGTCTGAACGTATTAGTGCTGTAGGTCCCCAGGGACACGGCAGTGATGGAAAACACCCTTGCCACTAAATCTGTGCCTGGTTGTTAAGCACTGGGAACCCAGAAATGGGAGTTATCAACGCAGATGTGGGTCCCATTCAGACTTAGCATCAGGAAACAGCACTGTAGGCTTTTCAGGAAAGATGGTGCATCTATCATATCAGTACAGCCCTCCTGATGTCCCTTTACAGAGAAACCAGCGGTTGCTTCCCTTGGAGGCTGGGATGAACTCTCCTAGGGTCCAATGAAGAGGATGAAGATGGAGAGAGAAAGGAGTCCCTGGTCATCCATAGAAAGAACTGATCTCTCTCATGTCACACCAGACTGCATTCTAAGTTGGATTCTCACTTTTCTTGTGGCTGGCTCTGGTCCCAATTTCTGTATTCTCTGGAAAGTTTTAGCCTGCCTGCCTGCCTGCCTCTCTCCCTTCCCCTCCCTCCCTCCTCCTTACTTTCTTTTTTCTTTTTGAGGGAGGATTTCTCTAACTCTGACTGTCTTGGAACTAGCTCTGTAGACCAGGCTGGCCTGGAATGTACAGAGATCGGCCAGCTTCTGCCTCCCGAGTGCTGGGATTAAAAGGGTCGGCCACCACTGCCTGGTTAGTATCTCCTTTCTGTTTTGTTCTTGTAGTCTACTTTTGTTATCAGATTTGCCTATATAGCCCCAAAGCCCTGTGCCTTGTTTATTCCAAGATGGGATCTATTTTCTTGTTGCCCACTGCTGGAATTCTGCCTTCCTCCTCTCTCCTACCCCTACAGATCATACTAATCTGTCAAGGCTCAACAAATCTTTTCTAGCACGGAAACAACCTCTGTCTAGGGCACCATCTACCAGGACTTTAACCCATTGGAATCTGTTTATCTACACCACCAGTTGTGGACACTAAAATAGTCTGTAGGATGCTAAATATATAATAGTTCCGAAGCTTTGGCGGTTTTTATGCTGTTTGGGGACAGGTCAGACATCTATCTTAGGCTTTCTTATTCTCAGCCTAACATTATCGAGAATGATAGCTACTTAGAAGGCATTTAAAAGTGTCCATTGGATGATTAAAGTCGTTTTTTAATGAGTTTGACCTAGAGAAACACAGATATTTAAGATTGATAGTGATGCCTTCCCCTCTTGCAGACCTCTGTAAAACAATTAGTACGATACCCCCAATAAGCCTTATCCTGCCATCGTAACAGTGGCCATCTCCAGGGAAAGGATTAATGACACGAGCCTACAGGGTTGCAAATGGTGCCACTTGGGATGACTCACCAGATATGACTGCCACTTGGGTCCCTTTCCCGAATGTTAGTTTCCCACTTAGTCCTCCAGTATTCACACTGCAGGTGACAGCTTTACAGAAGCTCAGGAGACCTACCCACACACAGATAGAAGAAGACTCCCTGTCTCTCAGGGTAGAGAATCATAGTCTATGTTTGTTTGGTGGTTTTTTATTTGTTTGTTTTTTCAAGACAGGGTTTCTCTGTGTAGCTTTGGAACCTGTCCTGGAACTTGCTCTGTAGAACAGGCTGGCCTCGAACTCACAGAGACCTGCCTGTCTCTGCCTCCTGAGTGCTGGCATTAAAGGCATGTGCTACCACTGCCCGTCTGAGAATCATATTCTTAAGACTTAGCTCTTTCCTCCTGTCCAGTTCTACTGTGGTACCCCAAACCGAAATGAGTTTATGTGATTTCCATAAATTCAGTAGAATTCATGAGATCAGAACTCCCTGCTCAGAACACCAGTACCTTAGATCCTCTAGTTGAAGGGGCCTAGATTATCATCGGCCTTGTGATTGTCAAGGGGTCAATGCAGGATAATGTTTCCTCAGTACTTAGTGCTGGGCAGGATGGTTACTTTCTAGAACCATTTAAGATCCCACAGAAGAAAATACCTGAACTCAAGCCAGCATCTTGGACATTGAGGAAGAGGAAGTACTTGTGCATTCTATACTTGTCTCATTCTCCATACACAGTGGATTGCTTAATTTGGTTCCTGCTCCAAAGATTAGTCTGTGGCTAGAACTGAAACCCCATATAGGTAAGGTCTCTGCAGAAGCCTTTCTGATACCACTCTGCTGGAGTCCACTGGGGTCTGAGGACACTACCCTAAACTATTCTCAAGTTCTTGGTTTCTTACAATGCCTATTTACCAAGGAAGCTGTTGCCTCTCTTTTTATAATAATGTAACCCTGAGGATGGCAAGGCCATGATAATATACCAAGGACACTCTCCTGGAGAAGGATTTCTTGTGAGCAGGCAAGATCTTGCCTTATGATGTGGTGCTATCAGTTTGGAAATGGTGTTAAATGCAGCTCATGAAGGAGGGGCCAGGATATACCCAGGCCCGTCATCCTCCTTGTCCATCTCCTGCTCTAGCCTTATTATAACATGGATCACACTGGTCATTCACAGGGCTCAGTCATTTTTACTCTTGGGCGAGGGTTCTGAGAAAAGTCTGTGTCAACTGGTGTCCTGTTACCACATTCATTAGCTAACCCAGGAGTTTAACTACCTGCTGCAATAAAAGAGAATTTGTGTTCACCATTAACCCACCTCTTCCTCCCCAAGGGCACTTAGCTAATTTTCTGAATGTTCAGGTTATCTGGTGCTGATCGTATTAGTACCAAGTATCTGCAACTCTTTTAATTTTTTTCCCCTATAAATTATTCTGTTCAGATTTTCACTTATTCGGTGGCTCTTGGCACCTCTCTGACTTCAGTATGAAAACTGGGCACACTTAGGCAACCCCAAGAGCCTGTGGGAAGAGATGATGCTTCACGCATCCCAGGTTAGCTAGAAATGACACTAACAAGTCATCGGGTCTTCTTGCTCTGGTCATTGGCATGGTTGTACTCACATGGGCTCACAGCCAGTCTGGTCCCTGATCCAAAGGTCAGCGTATTGAAGCCACCATACAACACACAGTAGAAGGGTGCTTTACAAGAACTCTAACCTGGGCTGGACCAGCCTGGATGCGATACTCACATCCTGCCTCAGTTTACTAATCTCCCTCAAGTCAGCCTGCCTTCAATGTAAAAGAAGTCTCACCACTGATGCTTTTCCTCAGGAATAGTCCCATAAACCTTCCCATCAGCCACCCTGGAGCCAGTGGGGTTTCCTGAAAGGTAGGCACCTGGCTTCTACAATACAACTGAAGATGTAACAGGCAGCTTGGAAGAATGTGAAGAGCCATGGATTAATTGCAAAGTGATTTTTAAAGTGTACATTGTTTTCTTTTCTGACAGGATCTTGCTCTGTAGCCCAAGGCTGGCCTTGAGCTCATGATCCTCCTGCCTCAACTTCTTGGACTATGGATACACATGCACCACCATGCCTGGTATGACATGAATCTTGAGGGAAGATTTCACTGGCAACACGTGGAAAACATTGGCAAGGCTTAGTGACAGCACTGGGCATAGGAGGGCCCTCCCTTAAGAAGATGGTGTCTGCTAGTCAAGATGCACTGACTATAGCCATCACAACATATCCACAAGAGAGCAGGAGCAGCTCTGCCCCTT